CACCATGGTGATAAAGCACCCAGAAACACCTCACCCAAACCCTGACCCCAAGACCCCAGAGTGCAATAACCCCACAGAACCTTCCCCATGAGCACAGGCCGTGGTACCCACCAGCACCACGGCGTGGTACGCCTGCCGCAGCTCTGCCACCGTCACGTCCCTGCCCACGCTGACGTTGCCATGGTAGGAGCAGCGCCCCGAGCGCGCCGTCTGCGTGAAGGTGTTGATCACGTTCTGCACACACCAAACAAGCACCAGGGAGTTACGTGCAAGGCCCAGGGGCCAAGGCCTGCTCCTGTCTGTTCCCCCCCCCCGGCCTTGAGATGCTTCACCCCCTCGCCCAGGCAGTTATTCTGAGGCTCTTATCTAACAGCAGCCGCAGATAACTCAGGGGCAGATAAGCACAGGCTGGGACTTGGCGCTCGCTTTTTCCATCACCCTGTGTGGAGTGGAAAATCCATCTTCTGCAGGAGGACAGGGCCCCTCCAATGCCTTTGGAACCTCTGAGTAAGCTCACTGTAGGAGAAAACTGCTTCTCCAAGGTAGTGCTTGCAAGGGAGTCCAACCAAACAACCCCTTCCATTGAGGGTGCTGCCTGCCAGCCCTCCTCTGCCAGCCTCTCATCTCAACCCTTCCCAAATCCCACCCCAGTGAGAGGGCACAGGGCAGGATGGTGCCCAAACCCTTTTCTTCAGAGCAATCAGGGCTCCAGAGCAAAACCACTCCTTCCCCTGCAGCTCCAACTGGGCTCAGCCTGGTAACAGGATGGATAGCAGCACACTGCAGACACTGCCCCAGACCCACACCTTTATGTCCACTCCTCCTATGGCCCAACTCCATCACCCCCAACAGCAGATCTCTGCTCCCAAATGCCTTGCCTGCACCCACCACCATCATGTTGCACCGCATCGGCAAGGGAGGAAGCCAGCACCAACCTTGACTTCAGGGTGATCTGGGGCCACCCCAAACCGGACGAGCCCAAAGGGAACAGGCAGCTTTTCGTAGATGTCCACTTGTGCCCCACCATGGTGCTGCAGAAGCAAGTCACGGTTAAGGGACGAGGACAGGCCACATGAGCCCAGCAGCTCCAGAGGGACACACAAGGCTTTGCTGCTGGGGAAGACACAAGGCAGGAGGAAGATCCAGCACCAAGATCCACCGCCAGCAACTGCCTCTTCTGGACCCTTCCACACAGGATGATGCTGTACCTGGTAGTGCCAGCTCAGATCACAAGGTGTAGTAAAGAGTGACCTTAACCACCACCAAGCACATCTCACAAGGGGCTCCATCCTCTTGCCCACCCCACAGCTCCCCTTCCACACTAACCCAGCAGCTACCCAGTACCAGGGGGGCTGACAAGGAGGCCCCACACTGGGTGGGAAGCAGCCAGCACTGGGTGCTGGTGGACCCCAGGCTGTCTGCCAGCCCTCGGCAGAGGTCAGAGCTGCAGAGAGATGCTCTGCTGCAAGGCTTTTGTTATCTCGTATTTTGAGTCTGACTCGGGGATTAAGCAGCCCTGAAATGTGTCCCTGAGGCTCAGTAACAGCTATTATCCAACACAACTGGAGACAACACAGCAGTTTAATGACGGGGTTCAGCTGCTGCATCTCTGCTCAGTGCCAACAGTTTTGTGCTCAGGTCTCATTTCCCATCAGAAACCCGAGTGCCCAAAGCACTAAAAACCTTCACAGATGCCAGGGAAGGGGTCACCTGCATGTCTTAACTCAGGTGGGGACGAGGAGGCAAGTTCTGCATGCTAACACATGGTTAATGTCATCCCTATTGGGTGACAACAGCTACAAGCAGGCAGATCTCAAATTCTATAGAAACCACTTGAGCTGAACTCACAGCATCATGGATTGGGTCTGGCCCAGGGGCAGGGCAGGGATGGAGGCAGCAGCACCTAAAAGGGGCTCAGGAGGACTCTGTGGGGTCTGGGCTGCTCCAAGCACCTCCCCAACCTCACCGACCTGCCTCCCCACCGCGCTTCAAGCCCAGCAGCCTGCAGACCCCCCTCATATCCTCACCCCCCACCAAAGCCCTACCCTGGTACCTTCAGGATGTGCTGAGCCGTGTAGAAGCCCGCGGGCCCGCTGCCCACCACGCAGACCCGGGGAGCCGCGGCAGCCGAGCACAGCCACCGCCGGAGGCCTGGAGGGGGAAAGGACAGAGAGGATGTGAGGTGCGGGACGGGCTGACCCCAGCCCAGCATCGCCCTCCCCTAGCGCCCAGCACGGACCCAGCGGGGCTCGTCCCCCCGCCGCAGCCATCGTGTGCAGCCGGTGCCGGCGGCCGCCCGCGGTTTAAGAACCCCCGGTGCGAGGCGGAAACGCTTGGCGGGGGGGGGGGTGTCAAGGCTGCGGCCCCCGCGCTCGGCCAAGCCCGTGGCCTTGGTGCTGACGGCGGAGCCGGGCCCGGTGGGGACGGGGGGAGCAGCTGGCGGCAGGAGGCGCCGCAACCGGGACCCCGTGCACCGGAGGATTCCGGTCCCGCATCCCTCCTCCAGGGCTGGAGCACGGCGCTGCCGCTCCCGGCTCTCGCAGCCGCTCGGCCGCGGTTCACCCGGTCCCTGCTCCCGCAGCCCCCCTTGTGCCGGTACCCCCGGTCCCGGGACACGCTGGCCCCGCCCCTCACCGCCCGGGACGCCGCCGCGCCTCCAGCACACACCGCTCGGTCCCATCCCCGCCACCGCTGGCCCCGCCCCTCCTCCCAGCAGCCCAATCACGAACCGAGACCACGGATTGATTAGCATAACCCCGCCCCCACATCGCCACGTGGCCACGCCCCCACTCACCCTCAGCCAATGGCAGCATGCCGTTGCCGCTACGGCTGTCCGGAAATGGGAAATACCATAGAGCTAGAGAAGGAGAGGCTGTCTAGTGGTCGCCCTCGCCACCGCTCTCTATGGCGAAGCCTCCGCGGTACTCTGCTGCCCGGGGCAGCAGCATCCCTGCGGCTGCTAATTGCGAGCGCCCTTTAATTGCCAAGAGTGATTAACTGCGGAGGTCTCCGGCGGAAAACAGCAGCTCAGACTGATTAATCCTCCCCCCTGTGCAGCCGTCAGCCTCTCACAGTCAAACCCACAGCACCCCCTCAATAAAGGATAAAGCGTTAGTGCCAAAGCCCCTGCCCCAGCCTCCCCGCTGTCCCTACTTTATTTCCTCCTTAATCCCATCACTTGGGTCATTCCAAATAGAACTACTCACCGTTGCCATGCAGAAAGACCCAGACCTTCTTCAGCCCCTGTGCGATACACCAGGCAGGAAAAGCATCTCGGTGGGACAGATGCCAAAGTACGCAGGCGAGCATTAATGGGGCTTTTTAAAAGCAATTAACACCAAGAGGAGTGTACAGCTAGAAGCTGGTTTTAATAAGGGTCATAAACCCCACATGCTTTACGCATGGATTTGAGAATTAGTTCATGGATTTCTGCGTGCTGAGAACAGCAGCTGGGCACGTACCCCACCTGCACCCACTCCTTCGGAGGCGGGGGGGGGTGCAGGGAGGACCAGGATTTCCAACAGCTTTAAAGCCTATTTCCCAAGCCCCCAGCCTCAGCTCAACACAGCAATTGCCAACCCCTGACCAGAGAGGCGAGGCTGGAGGCTCCATTCCAAATATCACCACTGATACCATCCACAAGAAGAGCCGAGTTTGAATCTGAGGCATATTTTGAGGCAGGAATTTGGAAGGTTCTGAGCACAGGTTCCCCATTAGCCTCCGCTGTATCTGCCTCTTCTGACAGGGAATAATCCCCGTATCTCTCAAATCACATCCCCGGCTGGCTGAAGGACCTGCGAGCATTTGCCTTTAGATGGCACTGCGTTAAACAACAGCCACGAAATCCAGCCCTGGAAAGGGCTGTTGCTCCCTCCAGTGCTTAGAAACATTTGGGACCAATTTCTTTGCAACAGGGAAGGAGAAAGAGCGCTTTGTACCCACAAAACACATGGGGCTGAGATTATCCCAACTGAAAGCACTGCTAATGCATCCCCCTCTTTGCTGGGGCACTCTTAATTTAGCTTAATTAAGAAACTAATCATGAGGGCTCTGGGGGGGTGGTGGGGGGGTGTGTGTCTCTGCCATCCCTGAGCCCTGGGTGATCCCCTCAAGCACTTGGGCCATTTGGTCCAGCCCCCCTGTTTCTCCCCAGCCTACACACCCAGGATAACCCACGCTCAAAGGGCAAAGATTCGCCCTTTGGATGTTTCACAACATCCTGGATCAATAAACCCTGCATGGGGCCAGTTAGGGGTGACACAGCAATGCCACCGGCGCAGGGCATCAGCATCCCCTGGGTCTCAGCCCAGGATAAATCAGTAATTCCCTATTCCTGATGCCAAAAGGGTCACACTGGACAGATCCAAGGGCAGCTTTCCCTGCCCCCAAGTCTGCATCTGCTACACAGGGACATACCGCAGCCATCCCAGCTCCAGCCCTGTGTCACAGCATCCACATGAGGACCCTTCTCCGCTGGGTCTGAAGATGCCCCTGCACAGGGTGAGAGTCTTTCCCCCACCTTTGAGCACCACTGGATACCAGTAGACTTGCTCCAGCAGCAAACCCCAATAACAAAGAAGCTCCATCTCAAAGTTTTAAGGCTGAATTTGCCAAATCATTGTTCCTAGAAGGGACTGATTCACCCCAGAGCCAGGCAAAGCGCAGGCAGCAGTGACCAACCCCCTCCCCATAATCCAAGCCCTTCCCTGAGCCTCCAACCACACATTTGCAGCTCCATCCTACAGATCCTGGTGGAACAAGCTCCGGATGCACTGGACACGGTGCTGTATCTCCTATGGTCCTGTTGCAGGGAGGCCACAGCCAGCAGACAAGAGGTTTCCTCTCCCCAAGCGTGAAAGCAGAGTGGATAAAACTAAGCCCTGGCTGGGAATAACTGGGGATACCCCCTTTTTCCTGTCCCTGGAGATGCACTTCCCGGCTCTCCTCCTGCAGGGGCTCCGTGCATCATTATCAAGCCAAAAGCAAGATATAGGGGGGAAATGTTTCCTACATGATGGCTTTCTGGAGGCGTTTGTGTTGCCCCAATCCTGCTAAAGCCATCGCTGTCACAAGTCCCTGCAGGAAACATCCCAGAGTCCTGGGGTCCCATCCTCACTGGATGCCCACCAGCTCCGTTAGGGGGGGAGCGTGGACCATGAGCTCCTCGTATCTCTGGAGGAAGAGACGGAGCCTGGAGGTGTAGGTGTCCTCATTGTATGGCAGCTTCTTCTGCTTCAGGTACTGGGAGACGATGGGTTTGATCTGCAAAGGCAAAGTCATCCCTGTACAGGCTGTACAAGGTTCCCAGGCTGAGCTTACACAAGGTGCTCATAAACCCCATCCCACGTTACCAAAACAGGGCTGGAGAAGGCAGCACCAGCCATGAGGATTAAGAGGAAGGTGTTTTCCTGTTAAAGCAACCCAGGGACTTCACCCTGGCAAAACACCTTTGTAGGGCTCGGGATTAGGAGAGATCTCCTAATGAGGCTTTTAATGAGGGCCACCCATGCATGCTCATCACTTACACCCATGGTTATCCTCAGGTGCCCACACAGCAGCTCAGCACCGGGGCTGGGAGGCTGCCACCAGCTTAATTACCCCTTCCCTGCAACACACCTCTATGGGGAGCAGGTCCTGCCAGCCCCATGAACTCAAAAAAGGGCACAACCTAAAGCCCATAGCGCTCTTGATCTGTCTATTCACTATTACTTCTGTTTTTTCCCCCCAACCTGAGACTGAAAGCAAGTGCACGGCATTGAATGAGTGGACATCCCATGCTGAAGGGCAGCACATGGACCTGCTTTGGAATCCCCCAGGGCTGAGGCGGTGTCAGTTTGAATACACCCCACACTTCAGAGCAAGAGGTAAGAGCAAAATCAAGATTAGGGGAAGTTTGCCTGGACTTCATCTGAACCAAAAGCCAGACTGAGCAGTAATGGAGATGCTTTCCCCAAGGGAAGAGCTGGGAGGATCCCAGACCGTGGGTTGGCTGCTGCAGGCTGGAACTGGGAGCAGGGGAAGAGGCAAGGAGCGGAAAACGAGGAGAAATGGGAGCAGGAACAGAGGGAATCATGGAATCGATTAAGTTGGAAAAGACCTCTAAGATCATCAAGCCCAAGCGTTACCTCAGGACTGCCAAGACCTCACTAACCCATGCCACCGAGGGCCTCATCTACATGGTTGGTGCAACCTTCATCCACGCCATGGGCTGTCTCACCTTGAGGCACATGTTGTCGGAGAGGCTGGGGAAGAGGTGATGCTCCACGTGGCAGCTGATGAGCGAGTGGCCGAAGGACCAGTCGAGCAGCGCGTTGCGGGGCAGGTTGAGCACACCCAGGCTCATGAGCTGGATCCGCTTGGGCTTCCGATCGGCCGCGAACATGGGGAGCCCGATGTGCTGCGGGAGAGGCAGCGTGGGCACCCCACAGCACCCAACACCCCCCCGGACCCATCAGGGCCAACCATAGCTCTGGCCATACGAGAGCATGAAGGTGACCCTCATGCCCCATGTTCACCCATCTGCCCTTATGTTCTCCTACAGCCACCACTTTCCAACCCCAGCACCACCAGCCTGACCCTCCCCATGACGACATCGGCACAAGAGAGGTGACAACCAAGCTTTACCCAGCAGTGTCAGGGCTGTGTCACCAGTGGAGGCTGACACATCCCCAGCACCATCAGGACATCCTGGAGCCTCAGGTCTCTACCTGGAATATGTTGACGTGGATGTAGGGATGGGCCAGGAGAGAGCGGGTGAGCAGCATGCAGAGCAGGGCGGACCACGGCGACTGGAAGCCCGAGACGTGGAGCAGCAGCCAGTAATGGCAGTAGAGACCCAGAAACATGCAGCAGAGGGTCCGGAGAGCTGCTTTCCACTCCACATTCCTCAACAAATCTGCATAGGGAAGAAGCACCACATGGGAGAGGAGCTAACCCTTCCTGCCACCACTGCTGCTCCAGCAACCAAGCTGTGTTCCGATAACCCTACAGCTCATGCCACCCTCCATCTCCCTTTCCCCATCATCCACACTGGCCTGACACCCCCAGCCTGGTTTTTGGGTCTCCAGGACAGGCTGAGGGTCCAGCTGTGCAACACCACACAGGGACTGGGATGCATCTTCATGTCTTACAACGTGCCAAGTCATTGTCCATGCTTGTGGCATTGCCCACAGCTGTTCAACCAAGGGGGCTGGGCTTCCTCAGCCTCTTCTCCATGATCATTTCCTGGCACTATCATTTCCTCTGTGCCACCACTTTGTCTGCCCAAGCTTGTTGCTTCCCAGCCCCACAATCAAACACAGTCATCAAACACACCCCATGCAATCAATGCTCTCACAAGAGACCAAGGTATAACACCAAACTGTGCTACAGCCAAGGGGCTGAATTAAAGGAGAGCAAATTTGGGGTGATTCAGGCTCACGATGGCCTTTGCCAGAGCTTTCAACATCCAACATAAGAAAATGTGAAGTGTTTCTGAGCACCAGCAGATGCATTCCCCGGAGCAAGTGCAGCATTGCCTGCCTTTGCTGCAGCCCTGTATCCCACCATGGGTTTGCATAGTTACCCTGATGGCTCCGAACAAGTCAGGACCCTTTGGCAGGGTGAGACCTGCTCCGTAACAAGCTCACCATACCCAGCACCCCATCCCAAGGTGGTTGGGATACGTACCAAGTGCAACCAGAGGGGTTAAGATGGGCACCGCGAGAGGCGCGATGAACATGTAGACGTAGCGGTTCAGGAAAGGAAGCTTCCATGTGCTGGAGTCCCCCAGGCCGATGACGTTGGTGTAGCCATGGTGGATCTTCACATGGTTGTAAGTGGCCTGCTCGACTGTGAACGCTGAGCAGAGCTGGGAGGGAAGAGAAAGGAGAGGAGATGCCTACAGCCACAGCACCAGGGTTGGGGTCATGGGAGAGGAACCCAGAGGGGATGCTCTGCACTCCACAGGCTCCAAACCAGGCTGGAAAAGAAGGTGGCTGGTCCTGATGGATTTGCGATGCTGGCAAGGAGATGATGGGGATGTGGGGGGACCCAAACCCCACAGCCCTGCTCACCTCAATGAAGAAGATGGCCCACACTTTGCCCCAGGACTTGGACTCGGTCAAGGCGTTGTGGCTGGCCAGGTGGCTGCCCTTCACTGTCAGGGTATGATGCACCACGCCAAGGGTGAGGACACCAGCCAGGAAAGGGATAGCCTGGGCTGACCGCAGGCACAGGAACCCTGTGGAGAAACCAGCTGGGCAGGAGCTTGGGCACGCACATGTGCTGCTGCCCTCCTCACCTCTGAGCCGGGGCAGAGGTGCTGCTACACCCAAACAAGCCAGCCACAGCCCTAAACCTGTTTTTCAGACATAGGTACAGGTATTTAAACTGCCTGAAAGCTTCCTCCCACACTACCCTGCACACCTGGATCAGCCACGCTCACCATCATGGTAAAGGTTTGGCCACTTCCAGTCGTGGTGGCACTGACGGCAAACACAACTTTGCCAGGGCTTCAACATCCCCATGAGTTCAAAGCAAGAGGAGGTACCAGCAGCAGCTTCCCAACCATGCTGCTGGAGCCCTGTGCTCAACCACATCCCCCTGCACCCACCACAGCCGGGGCTATTGTCACCAAACCCATCAGGGTTTCCCTGCTCCATGGCAGGACATGGATGGGGCACACCAATCCTGCCCTGTGCCAATCTGCAGGGCATCATCCCCTCATCCCAGGCTGTACCTTGGATAGCACCATCACCCACTGTGGGTTCCCAGTGGGGTCAGGGTACCCCATAGCACAGGGTAAAGGGGTTATTGAAGCTTTATTTCAGGTTTAATAACAGCTTCCAGCACCAAGTGGTACCAGCCACGAGGAGAAGGCATCAGGACCCCCCTGGCTATGATATGGGGGGGCTGAGCTGGATTACCTGCTGGGAGCAGGAGGAAGCTGCAGCCGAGGATGCTGATGTCCACCCCGTGCCGTTCCCACCAGCTGCTGCTCTTCACCACCTTCTGCACCAGCTCCGAGAGCTCAGTCATCAAGGCTTCTTCACGCTGCCCTGCTTGCTGCAGGGCCCCCTTGGGAGCCACGTTCTTGTCACCCAGTGTTGGCTCCGTCCTGCTGCCATCGGGTGCTGTCGTGTCCTGGAGCAGCGGGTCCTCTGTTTCCCCAAGCCACGGGGTACCACTGACCTTGCCATTGACCCACTGGCCCCTCTGCCTCGCTGCATCCCCATCCTCCAGCGGCATCTCCCTGCCGAGCAGAGGCCGCACACAGGGTAGCACCCACAGCACTCTGCCCCGGTGCCGACGGGCTCCCGCTGAAGGACACGGGAAGGACAGGGATGGCAAAACCCAACAATCCCGGCAGGACACAAGGCAGCGGTGACAGCCGGAGCCACCCGGCCTCCCCCTTGGGGACACCCCCGCCACCGCAGCCCCCTACTCACGCCAACCCCCGGCGCGGTGGCTCCCCCGGTGCCGGCCGTTGCTGGGCGGCCGCGCAGCCCCGCGCACCGGCGGTGTCGTACGGCAGCGATTTGGAGAAGGGAGGAGCAGGGGAGGACCGGGAGGAGGGCGGATGCAGATGAGCCATTGGCAATAACCCGCCTTGGCAGCCCCTTTTGGGGAGCTGCCACCGCGGTGGGGCCATGGGGAGGACACTGGGCCGAGGTCATGGGGGGAGACGAGGGCAGCGGAGGAGTGGAAAAAAGATGGAGAGAGGCATTGGAAACGCTGGAGGAGAAGGAGCCAAGTGCTAGAAATAGCCCTGAGAAACCCAAGCGGAGCGCTGAGGACGGGGATTGGGTTTCGCTTCTGCCGGGGAGCGGCTGCAAACGGTGCCTGTCCCATGAGGGAGCTGTTTTTGGGGGGGAAACCGGCCTTTTTCCCAGCAAGGAGGAGGCTGCGGGAGGAGGGGGCAGCGCACGGCTGCCTGGCTCCTGCCGGCGCACACTGCTGCTGCTGCGGAGCTGCACAGCACAATCCTCTGTGCCTGGGGGGGGGAGCATCTTACAGGGACCAGGTCACCCCAAATTTGTGCCTGGCACCCAGCCCCGACCCCACAGGGTCCCTCTTCCAGGCTGTTCTCAGCAAAGCCCTAAGAATTTCCTCCCTTTTCCGTCATGCCTCCTACTTAATACAGTGCAGGAACCCCAAAAGACTGGGACCTCTTGAGCTCCATTTCTCTATGGAGGAAGGTTAAACCCACATCACTTTATGCAGTGGCACTGGATTTGTTCTTGCTTTGTTATTTCTCCCTATCAAAACCCCCATCAGCTCAACTGACCCCCAAAACACTGATGAGCACTGACCCCTAGCAAACCCATAGACAAGGCTATACCCATTGCTGGGGTACCCCAGCCCCAAACTGGGACAGGCTCAGTACCTCCCGTAACACCACATCGCTGCAGCCCCTTGCAGGGAAGCAAACCTCACATCCAGGTTGCACCAATCCCCAGGGATTGTCATCATATCCTGGAAAAAAATTAACAACAATTAAAGAAAATCACATCTGCTGCAAATGAAGCTGAGGCTTCATTTACTGTAAAAGCTTCTATTATGAAAGATTATTTCCAGAGCCACAAATTACAGCAGCATCCAAAGCTCAGCCAGGCCAGTGATTCATCCTGATACACAGCAAGGGAAGCCCACAGATGGGAGAGCACCCGTGGATGCTGCCAGGCCAGAGGAAGGTGGGTGCCAGGCACAAAGGGTGCATCGGATGGGGCTGCTGGGTCTGCTCCTGAATGATGCCTCCATTACCTTCATCACACCACGGGTGTCAAAGGTGAGCAGTGGTGGAGCTGCCATTGCACTAGCGCAGAACAGAGCAAAACTGGTTATGTGGTGTTGGCCAAGGAGGAGGCGATGGGGATCAACCCCATATCCAAGAGCAGCATGAGCCATCAAGGATCCCACAGAGGCAGCAGTGAGCATGCTGGTGTGCACAGGCAGAGGGAGGCACATGGCATGGTTCATACCCCTGCTGCCACCAGGATCACAGCCCATAGAATGGTTTGGGTTGGAAGGGATCTTAAAGCTCATCCAGTTCCATCCCCCAGCCACGGGCAGGGGGACCTTCAATTGAGAGGCTGTTTTGGCTTCAGGGGAAAGCACTGAACCCATAAAAGCCTCTTCCTTTGGGCTCCAGTGAAGGTGGGAGTCACAATGCTCATAGGAAAGCAGCAGCAACAAGAACAAAGCCATAAGAAAAGCCAACAGATTCAGAGCTAGAGCCCCAAATCTGATTATTTTCTGCCTTGCAGAGCTCCATTTCCAAAAGAGCCTTCTGACCCCCGGTTTACATCTGATTTTGCACCATGCACAGGCCAAGCCATGCAACCCCACTGACCCAGCTGTTTTAGGGATGAAAGCAAATGCTCACTTGGCCCTTGCACTGTGGACACAAACACCTCCAATTTCGCAGGAAAAACACACTAAAGACTCAGAAATCCTTGGGCACACAGGAGGGAGGCTGGAGGGGATCAGTGTAATCCCCATACAGTGAGCTCTTGTCAGCAGCTGCTGATCCTGTGCCTATTCATCTCCATGGGCACCACAAGAGACCCATGAGCACCTCCATAGGAAGCTGCCAGCCCCGAGAATCAGTCCCTCACCAGTCCTCATCCAACCTTCAGCCCTCAGGACCAAGCCCAGCCAAAACTGGCACCTAGAAAGGACAAACCTGGCCCCCAGCAATATCCTCCCATGTCACTGCTCCCAAAGGAAGGAGAATGGGTCATTGTAGCACAGCACAATGGTACACATGCACCTAACAGCCCTAAGCCCTCCCCACTGATCCCCCCAGGGGCAAAGCCCACTGCAGCCCCCAAAGGGACCATTTCCAGCCCCAAATGCAGGAGATGTTAGCAAAAGTTGCAGTATTTGCACCCCAGTGCTGCGATAAAGGGGGGGCAGAGTTCCCTTTGAAGCCATCGCATCCGCTGCACACCCTCCCCTTCATCCTCCTCCCCCAGCAGAGGAAGGAGCAGACTGCAGGGGCTGGCAGTGGGGCACCATCAGCTCTTCCCTCCCCCAGCTGCCGCAGCCGGACACCCCAAACCCACCATCCCCTGGTCCCTGGCATCACTGAGGCTGCCGAGATTTGCTTGTTTAATAGCTGGGGTTGGGTGGGGCTTCCCCCTCCTCTCTCAGGCCAAGCACATTTGGGTAATTAACTTGATGAGACACTAATCACCACCATCCCCTCCCCACCGGGCTCTTTTCCTTTCAGGGTCTGGCAGACACCTCAAGAAGGAGAAAATTGCCGTGAATAACACTTCATCCCACTTCATCCCACCCCTGCTGCAGGCCGGCGGGAGAGCGAGGAGCTCCATCTGCAGCAAAGCCCTGCCTCCACCCCCCCCCCCAAAGCATCTCTATCTCCCCAAATCCAGGCCCTGGCCCCATAGCTCTTGGCGCATCCCCTGCTCCGCAGCCGAGCGGCTCCCAGCGCTGCTGCTAGGCGGGAGTTGGGCACCGGTCCCCACTCAACCCCCACCCCGGTACTGCCCCACAGCCAGGCAGGGCACCCCAAACCCTCCATAACGGGGCTGCGGGAAGAGGGAAGGGAAGAGCCCGGGAGCCTCGGGGCAGGCACCAGAGGGAGTCGCAGCTCCGCGGAACGCTGCTCTCGGTCGCTATTCCAAAGCGCGGGGTGCTCAGCCCTGGGCTCCCAAAAAGCGACACCCAGCCTCATCCCCGTGCCAGGGAAAGGAGCTCTCAGTGGGTCCATGGGGTGGCAGAGCCACCGAGCCGCGGCCCATGGGGGGCAAAGTCCTTTTCCAGGGGCAGTCACAGCCTCCCTCGGAGCTCCGGCGGTGCCAGGTTGGGATGGGGCCGGCGAGATGCCAGGTCTATCCAAGGGTGTTTGGTAGGCTGTATGCTCCCAGCCCTGCCGGGACGTGCAATGTCATGCTTTTAACCCTAAATAAATACCTGCCCCCCCCGGAAGCCCCGCTGTTTGCAGGGCACACATGGCCATGGGTGATGGGAAACTCCTCACTCGCACTCAGCAGCTCCGGGAAGAAGCTGGATCCTGGCACGGGCTAATCTGGGAGATCTCTTTGTGCCAGGCAGCGGGCACGGACCGGATGGCGGTGAGACGGGGCAGGCAAAGCCGTGCTGCCCTGTCCTGGGTCGTGCACGGCTGCAGGGGAGGCGCTGTGGATGGAGGCTGATGGTCTTGTCCAGGATCTGCGTTGGTCCAATGTCACCTTGCATTACCTGGCACCCCAAGAGGGAAGTGGCTGGGTGGCAGAGCCCCACAAAGAGCGTTGCCGAGCCAGAAAGAGTGCAAATCCCACAAACCCACTGTCATTCATATCATACTTTGCATTGATACCATACTTTTCTCATCCCTGTTTGACCCTCAGATGGATGCTGTTCTCCAGGGGGAGAAGGGTTTTACCTGCTAGCCTCACTGGCTTAGGCCCTCCGTGCTGCAAGCTTTAGGGGCCACATGGCCAGGCAAACATGCAGCTGTACCACAGGGATGGACCACGAGCATCCCTCATTTGCAGAGCAGATATGGACCTTGGGGCTGCTCATGCAGATGCTCTCCTTTGTGTGGGGTTGGTATGGGTTATGCCACGCAGGGGAGCACAGCCACCTTCCTTCTTCCCTTTCCAGTAGCCATCTGCAAACACAAGAACCCCAAAGCCCAGTGACAAGCCCTGGGTGCAAGCCCCTGCCTGCCCAAAGCTGCAGGGGCCGGGTGAGACCCTCAGCAGTGGCTGGTGCAGGTTCAAAGCCAATTGCACATGAAAACCAAACCCAGCACAAACCCCACCCCTGAGCCCTTGGACACCCCTGCCCAGGGCCTGAAGTCACAGCACCAAACCCTACCCTTACCCATGAACACCCCGAGGCCTCGCTGCAATATCCATCACTGTCCCTTTTGTCGCCCACCACCGGAGGATGCTGATACAGTACCTGGACCGTGTTTCCAGTTTTATATATCAGCAGTGAATAAAGCAGTTGTCATCCGCTCCCTGTTCCAGCTGAATTTCCAAAGCCTGGCTGGAAGTGTCAACTAATCACAGACTTCCTCCACTTAGCAGCTCAGGGCGAAGGTAATCACTGGTTTGGGTGCCTCTGCTCTTGCCCCGACCGAAACTGCTTGCCCCCACCCCTTGGTCCTTGGCGTCACTGCCTGGCCAGGAGTTACCCAACTCATGGTGGAGATGCTGCGGGCTCCATCTATCTCTGTCTGCTTCCACAATGCCAAGCCTGACACCAGCAGTGCCATCAAGGGATGGCCGAGCCCTCTTACCTACCAGCCCAGCAACTCTTTCGTGACCCCGGAAAGCAATGATGAGTCCTGAGGAGGGAACCAGCCACTGCTGGTTTTAACATGTTTAAACGTGTTTTCCTTGTAAGCATGGTACTGCCCAACACCAGCTCCTGGTGTCCTCCTGGTCGCCAGGACAGAGCCACCGGGGCTGGCCATGCATGGGCAGGCTTCCACATGGAGCTTCTACCACTCGGTGCAGGCTCCATCCTCTTTCCTCTCTAGGAAAGAGAGGTTCCTTCAGCATGCAGAGGGAAGATGAGGACCCTGGTGCGGTGCTGGAGATGGCATCATCTGGCACTTGGGTTGATCCATGGATGAGTGAGGACTGTTTGCCAGGGCGGCTCAGCATCGCTATGCACGGGGCCAGGTCTCCCTGCCAGCTCCCA